TTTTTTAAGACAATTGACCCCTGTGACCTTGAATATAATTGAAGGTCATTCATTTGAACAAACTTGGTAGCCCTTCACCCAAGCATGCTACTTGCCAAATATCATCTCCCTGGGCAGTTTGGTTATCGAGAAGAAGATGTTTAAAGTTTTTAACATATTTGACCCCTGTGACCTTGAAAATGGGTGAAGGTCATTAATTTTAACAAACTTTGTAGCCCTGCATCCCAGTTTGCTTCTGGCTAAATATCGACACCCTAGGCCTTTCGGTTATTAAGAAGAAGTCGTTTAAAGTAAAATATTGACGCCGGCCGGCCGGCCGGCCGACGGACCACAGACGATGGACGGACGGACGGACGACAGACGGACGCCGGACGATGCGCCTCTGCATAAGCACACTTCGTGCCAGGTGAGCTAAAAAGTGCATTCAACAAATCACCAAAGTATATTTAGATAAAATTACATCAGTTGGTTTACAAATTAGATCACTGAACCTATGTCACAGCATATCAGATTGAATTTGATAGATCACATGACATCAAAATAAAAATCCTTTCCCCTCTTGCATGATGCCATTTCTCTCTTTTGTGATCATTCTATTTACCTCTTCCGTGATCATATTTCCCTCTTCCGTGATCATATATATTTTCCTCTTTTGTGATTGTTTTTTCTGCTTGTATGATATATTTCCCATTTGTACGTTGTATGATCATAGTTTCCTCACACAATCAACTTTTGGTTCTTATAATATGATTTTTTTCAGAGCACATATAAAGATACATTATTAACTCTCTTTGAATTAAGGAAAGCTGAATCCTTCCTTCCTATCGACCTATTATGTTCCGAGTGGAAACACTGTAAAGTTTAGAGCTTTCCCGACATAAAGACATTGTATGTATTATCACTACCCTTGACAATGCCTGTATACCAATTCATAACAAGAGGGTGAATTTTACATCCTCATTCATTCATTTTTCACCACAATATACAAAGCCCTCTTTCCCTTAGCTTCATACACACATTGCTCACTCCTCCTCCACACATTGTTCACTCCTCCTCCACACAATGTTCACTCCTCCTCCACACATTGTCCACTCCTCCTCCTCACATTGTTCACTCCTCCTCCACACATTGTCCACTCCTCCACCACACATTGTCCACTCCTCCTCCACACAATGTTCACTCCTCCTCCACACATTGTTCACTCCTCCACACATTGTTCACTCCTCCTCCACACATTGTTCACTCCTCATTGTTCACTCCTCCTCCACACATTGTTCACTCCTCCTCCAAACAATGTTCACTCCTCCTCCACACATTGTTCACTCCTCCTTCACACATTGTTCACTCCTTCTCCACACATTGTTCACTCCTCCTCCACACATTGTTCACTCCTCCTCCACACATTGTTCACTCCTCCTCCACACATTGTTCACTCCTCCTCCACACATTGTTCACTCCTCCTCCACACATTGTTCACTCCTCCTCCACACATTGTTCACTCCTCCTCCACACATTGTTCACTCCTCCTCCACACATTGTTCACTCCTCCTCCACACATTGTTCACTCCTCCTCCACACATTGTTCACTCCTCCTCCACACATTGTTCACTCCTCCTCCACACATTGTTCACTCCTCCTCCACACATTGTTCACTCCTCCTCCACACATTGTTCACTCCTCCTCCACACATTGTTCACTCCTCCTCCACACATTGTTCACTCCTCCTCCACACATTGTTCACTCCTCCTCCACACATTGTTCACTCCTCCTCCACACATTGTTCACTCCTCCTCCACACATTGTTCACTCCTCCACAAATTGTTCACTCCAATATTCAATCCTTTCTTCCCTTGACTTTATACACAGATATGTCTATAACCTTGATGTGTTATATAGCAGTTACAACAAATCACCTCCTGTACATGTGTTCCAGCACTGTCAGTGAAAATCAATCACTATCTCGATCCATGCTTGTGGATAACATGGATTATTTTTTACTATCCTCTTTACTCTGTTTGAGTTGGTGCGAATGTTTGAGTTGTTCAAAGCGTTCATGGACCTTCTCCAGACTGACGGTAGAACCTGTGGTACTGGGTGGTTTGTGATAGGTGTAACGTGCAGCCTCAGAGACTGATGAGGGTGGCGACACAACAGAGCCAGCATCTGACATCCTTTGTCTACAATATAATCAAAAATGTAGAATATAGTTTTCTTTAATTCAAATGAGATGAATAATTGAAGAAATTAATTACACTGAAAAACAGATATCACTGATTCTTATTGACAGTGTTACAAATGGCTCTATGTTGAAATGGACATAGTCAAAAATGACAGGAAAAAACAAATGTTACTAGTAAAAACTATATAGATTTCTGATTGTACAGGTTAGATCTCTAAAAAAGAAATCTTTACCTGAAAACTACTAGAACGTTTTGGTGATACAAGTTTCAGTAAATCTGATCAAAGGTCTGGGTCCTGGATCGTGAAACAATTTTAGACTTATAGTTTTGCTAAGCCACAGATGACGTACGTCACTTATCATAACGCTAAGTTTGGCTAAGTCAAAATTTAATATAGACAATTTTAGACTTAAGATCATTTCATGATTCTGGGGCCAAGTTTTCTGGGCAGGGTCAGGCTTTAACAAGTTCTCTACACTTATTAAACAGAAGAGACCTACCTGACTGGATGGCCTTTGCGAGCCTTCTGAACCATTTTGATGACCGATTTGTTACTGGTTATCTCTTCAGCAAGCTGACCACTTAAGGTCAAAAGGTTGATGTCAATACAATCTGTGGTCAGAAGCTTATCCAGAGATTTCTTTCTGACCAATTTACAGGCAAGATGAAGCGGTGTCAGACCGGCAGTGTTCTGAGTATTGATGCAAGTTACATCTGCATGAAGCAAGCTCTCCACTATTGTATAATTATCTCCCCCTTCCAAGCTCCGATGAATCGGCATAGAACCATCAAGCAAGTTGACTGCACAAACATGACTGACAAGTCCGTCTAAGGAAAGACATGTTACATTACATTACCTTGTCAACCTAAGGCAGACTGTCCTTTTGGAAAGTTTACAGTTATTCTACAGCACCAACACAATAAAAGCTCACTCAATATATGAAATGCAAAGAACCAAGTTCACCAAATATATTTCAAAGGATTTTCATGTTACATCAAGATTGTTATTTTAACATGCATTGCCAATGTTTTCAAAACAATAATTAAAAGACATTCTAACATTCATGGAAAACCTGGAGATATGTAAATTGTCATATTACACATATTTTAAAATTAACCAAAGCAAAACCAACAAGAACAAGAGGCCCAATGGGCCTGAATTGCTCACGTGGTATTAATCTCACACTTGTAATCTTAAAAGTGGACTAAAATACAACTACAGGCAGAATATCAGTGTTTGATTCATAAGAACCTATTAAAAGATTTAAACATATGACGCTCGTGACCTTGAATGTCATTCAAGGACATTAGGTTGAACAGAGTTTATAGTCTTCCAACCCAGCATGCTTCTAGCAAAATATCAATACTCTAGACCTTATGGTTATACAGAACAAATCATTTAAAGATTTAAAGATATACACCACATATTGACCACTGTGACCTTGCATATGGGCGAAGGTCATTTATTTGAACAAACGTGGTAGCCCTTCATCCCAGCATGTTACTGGCCAAATGTCATCACCCTTGGCCTTTTGCTTATTAAGAAGAAGACATTCAAAGGTTTTAAACATATTTGACCCCTGTGACCTTGAATATAAGTCAAGGTCATTTATTTGAACAAACTTGGTAGCCCTTCATCCCAGCATATTACTGGCCAAACTAAAGCACCCTAGGGCTCTCGGTTATTCATAAGGAGTTGTTTAAATGTTTTAAACATATTTGACCCCTGTGACCTTGAATATAAGTCAAGGTCATTTATTTGAACAAACGTGGTAGCCCTTCATCCCAGCATGTTACTGGCCAAATATCATCACCCTAGGCCTCTTGGTTATTCAGAAGTAGTTGTTTAAATGTTTTAACATATTTGACCCCTAAATACATGTGTCAGCCAATCAGAAGGCATCAAAGCGATCCTGAATTCAAATATTTAAAATCTGTCATTTGATGTAAAGTACTAGGTATACCTTCTACGAAGTATGAGGTAAAACAGCCTAGTAGAACTCAAGTTATAACTGTACTAGTCTTGGCAAATAAGAGGTCATGGTGGCCATCTTGAATACCAAGTATATCCCTTGTTCATCATTCCAACAAAGTATCTAGCTATAAACCTAAATGTTCATATCTCAGCCAATCATGACCAGAGGCCATTGTTGCTATCCCAAATCCCAAATTCAATATTCATTCCACATATTAGATAAGCTTGCTATGTACCAAAGTGTGAACAAAGTTGGCCAATAGCACCTAAGTTAAACTGGTATTGTCTCAACCAATTAGAGCAAGTCTAGCTGTGGTAGCCATCTTGAGAAAATGCTTATTTCATTTCACACACAAAGAGATAACTAAGGTACAAGCAGAATGTCCCCTTTACTTCATTTTAAGAAATATAACAACATTTTTATGGCAAAAGCTAACTTTGAAATAATTTCTTAATAACTTCTTTATGTGAAGGTTACCTATGTTACAAGGAAAGGAAACCTACCATGATAGATAGACAGGCCTTTTGGCTTCTCCACATCATTCAGAAGGCTTTCTAGTCGGCTAGTGGGCCGGGTACATTCTCCACTCATCTGACCCCTGTAAGACAAGCCATGTATAATAAAGTGCTAGTATATCTGTAGCTTCAGTGATGGCCATCATTTTAATCATATTACTGCATCAAAGTTATCAATCTCATATATCTTCATGATGTTCTCAGCACAAAATATAACAGAACACAGACACGAGATCTCGGCACCCTCCGTCTTCATTAGTCCCGTGGTGTTCTGTTGGATTGGGACATGTCAACAGTAAATCTATTATGTATCCTGTGGTAATTTATCAGAACTTCATACATGTAAGACATTGTCCTTTTAAAGTGAGGCTGTCATTTGACCCGTTGTTTGACCCGTTGTTTGACCTATTTACTAGCGTAGTAAAATGTGTGTAAAATCAGACATCTGGTTTCTGGAAGTCAAATTTTTCATGAGTATTTTCTGAGAAATAATAAAGTTCAAATGTCAAAATCCAAGACGGCTGCCTGGTGACCACCTGATGATGATGGGCTAAAAATAGGACCACATCGCCTTCTTTTATTCACTACATTGCATATATTTTCAAGGATCATATATCATATAGGATCATATATATACTAAGCAAGATTGATTTACAGTTGAGTTTTCACTAATTGCTATATAGCAGGAAAACGCATTACTCGATTCTCAAAAAACTTTCACAGATCATTCTTATTCGTGCTAATAAATAATATATCACATGTTGATACCCTCAAGGTGACCTTTAATGAACACATACTCTGAAGCTGATTTCTGCACCAATAGAACATTAACACCTACCATTGCCCGGTTCGCATTTCACCACTGTCAGACTCTGAACTCTTCCTCTGGAACGTTGAACTTTTTTTCTCAAACACTTCTCCAGAATCTACACCAAAATATTGAATTCATGTTAGTTATAATGAGAAATCTGTTGCCCCACATTCTCTTACATACCTTATGTAATACTTTGTTTGCTACCCAGGGAATATATTGTTGATTTTATGACTGAGTCATGAATTCTCCGTTCGTATTCTTTCCATTTGAATCTTTTATAAGTCATCACTCAGATAGGGAAATGAACTTAACATGAATTTAACCAATTGGATCAAAAGAGATTTAAACTAGAAATGTGTCTGTAAAGCACATATGCCCAACTCCAACACTTAAGTAAAGTAATGTCACAGAGGTCAAGGTCAATTGTCAAGGTCACAAAAATGTCAAGCAACATGAACTACTTATAAACACATATATTGTGCAGTAGCTTTAGCCTAGCTGTAGTATACGTACCTTACCACATATTGTAGGTCAACATTATTGAGGTTAGGTTTAAACATGTGAGTATCGTGCTGCTGAGACATAATGTATAGCTTGAAACTCGAAGATAAAAAAAGCCTTATACAGAAGTTAGACTTTTTTTTATAGAACATGTAGGTATTACCGTGTTTATTAATCGTTTAATCCATCAGAATTTACTAACCTCATCAATTATCAGAAAATATGCACAAATCACATCTGTTGGCAAACTTAGCATGAGTCGGATGTGCATACGGAATTTGGTTGAAATATCTGCACAAAATCTACAGCAATTATCACACGAAAACCAAAGGGTGCCCAAGATGGGTGGAAAGACAGAGGAACACAAACATTGTTATCAAGTTTGATGGAATTTGGCTAATATTTGCTAAAGTTATTAAGCAGAAACTGCAGATAATGAAGTTTTTGGTTAATCAAAGGGCCATAACTCCACCAAATGGAGTCCGATTAAGGCTGTCAAACTTGGCAGAGCCCTTAATGCTTTGAATCCTGTTACTAAGTTTGTGGACAATCAGATAATATTTGCGAGAGTTAATGAACAGAAACTGCAAATAATGACATTTTTCGTTATTCAAGGGGCCATAACTCCCCCAAATAAAGTCTGCTGAAAGTGGTCATCGAACTTGGCGGAGCCCTTAAGGCATTAACCCTGTTACCAAGTTTGAAGAAAATCGGTTCACATTTGTTGCAGTTATTGCACTGAAACAAAGCGTGACAGACAGATAGAGAGACAGACAAACCCGTCCGCTCGGTGAAAGTGGGGGATAAAAAAGTGTAATTTTGTTCCTGAAGTATCTAAATATTAACATATTAGTTCAGAGTATTGGCATCTTTTTTACATACCTTCTAACTTTGTGGCCCCACTGATGACAGTAGCTGTGTCAAGAACCCCTGAGTCAGCATCAGATGTGTAGTCTGAACTGTAACATAGATACTACATCTAGTAGTCTGAACTGTAACATAGATACTACATCTAGTAGTCTGACCTGTAACATAGATAGTATATCTAGTAGTGTGAACTGTAACATAGATACTACATCTAGTAGTATAAACTGTAGCATAGCTACTACATCTAGTAGTCTGAACTGTAACATAGATAGTATATCTAGTAGTGTGAACTGTAACATAGATACTACATCTAGTAGTGTGAACTGTAACATAGATACTACATCTAGTAGTGTGAACTGTAACATAGATACTACATCTAGTAGTGTGAACTGTAACATAGATACTACATCTAGTAGTGTGAACTGTAACATAGATACTACATCTAGTAGTGTGAACTGTAACATAGATACTACATCTAGTAGTGTGAACTGTAACATAGATACTACATCTAGTAGTGTGAACTGTAACATAGATACTACATCTAGTAGTGTGAACTGTAACATAGATACTACATCTAGTAGTGTGAACTGTAACATAGATACTACATCTAGTAGTGTGAACTGTAACATAGATACTACATCTAGTAGTGTGAACTGTAACATAGATACTACATCTAGTAGTGTGAACTGTAACATAGATACTACATCTAGTAGTGTGAACTGTAACATAGATACTACATCTAGTAGTGTGAACTGTAACATAGATACTACATCTAGTAGTGTGAACTGTAACATAGATACTACATCTAGTAGTGTGAACTGTAACATAGATACTACATCTAGTAGTGTGAACTGTAACATAGATACTACATCTAGTAGTGTGAACTGTAACATAGATACTACATCTAGTAGTGTGAACTGTAACATAGATACTACATCTAGTAGTGTGAACTGTAACATAGATACTACATCTAGTAGTGTGAACTGTAACATAGATACTACATCTAGTAGTGTGAACTGTAACATAGATACTACATCTAGTAGTGTGAACTGTAACATAGATACTACATCTAGTAGTGTGAACTGTAACATAGATACTACATCTAGTAGTGTGAACTGTAACATAGATACTACATCTAGTAGTGTGAACTGTAACATAGATACTACATCTAGTAGTGTGAACTGTAACATAGATACTACATCTAGTAGTGTGAACTGTAACATAGATACTACATCTAGTAGTGTGAACTGTAACATAGATACTACATCTAGTAGTGTGAACTGTAACATAGATACTACATCTAGTAGTGTGAACTGTAACATAGATACTACATCTAGTAGTGTGAACTGTAACATAGATACTACATCTAGTAGTGTGAACTGTAACATAGATACTACATCTAGTAGTGTGAACTGTAACATAGATACTACATCTAGTAGTGTGAACTGTAACATAGATACTACATCTAGTAGTGTGAACTGTAACATAGATACTACATCTAGTAGTGTGAACTGTAACATAGATACTACATCTAGTAGTGTGAACTGTAACATAGATACTACATCTAGTAGTGTGAACTGTAACATAGATACTACATCTAGTAGTGTGAACTGTAACATAGATACTACATCTAGTAGTGTGAACTGTAACATAGATACTACATCTAGTAGTGTGAACTGTAACATAGATACTACATCTAGTAGTGTGAACTGTAACATAGATACTACATCTAGTAGTGTGAACTGTAACATAGATACTACATCTAGTAGTGTGAACTGTAACATAGATACTACATCTAGTAGTGTGAACTGTAACATAGATACTACATCTAGTAGTGTGAACTGTAACATAGATACTACATCTAGTAGTGTGAACTGTAACATAGATACTACATCTAGTAGTGTGAACTGTAACATAGATACTACATCTAGTAGTGTGAACTGTAACATAGATACTACATCTAGTAGTGTGAACTGTAACATAGATACTACATCTAGTAGTGTGAACTGTAACATAGATACTACATCTAGTAGTGTGAACTGTAACATAGATACTACATCTAGTAGTGTGAACTGTAACATAGATACTACATCTAGTAGTGTGAACTGTAACATAGATACTACATCTAGTAGTGTGAACTGTAACATAGATACTACATCTAGTAGTGTGAACTGTAACATAGATACTACATCTAGTAGTGTGAACTGTAACATAGATACTACATCTAGTAGTGTGAACTGTAACATAGATACTACATCTAGTAGTGTGAACTGTAACATAGATACTACATCTAGTAGTGTGAACTGTAACATAGATACTACATCTAGTAGTGTGAACTGTAACATAGATACTACATCTAGTAGTGTGAACTGTAACATAGATACTACATCTAGTAGTGTGAACTGTAACATAGATACTACATCTAGTAGTGTGAACTGTAACATAGATACTACATCTAGTAGTGTGAACTGTAACATAGATACTACATCTAGTAGTGTGAACTGTAACATAGATACTACATCTAGTAGTGTGAACTGTAACATAGATACTACATCTAGTAGTGTGAACTGTAACATAGATACTACATCTAGTAGTGTGAACTGTAACATAGCTACTACATCTAGTAGTGTGAACTGTAACATAGCTACTACATCTAGTAGTGTGAACTGTAACATAGCTACTACATCTAGTAGTCTGAACTGTAACATAGATATAAGTACAAGGCTAAGCATAGCAAAGCTTTATTTCAAACCCCAGTCGTCTTGATGAAAGGCAAGTGCGCTATCCACTGCACCACCCAACTACTGATACTCAGACTGTTACTGTTGAGCCTTCGCTTTGGTCGACTCTAAATAGAACTTATATCATAAAAAGGAAAACTATACTCATTTTAAACACGAAAGTAAATATGCTCATTTTCTTATATTTGGTTGACTACCATGAGAAATAAGAAGTTTTCTTACTTAGAATGCCATCATTTCCAAGATCTTCAATGCATACCATATCTGTACAGCGTTGTAGACAAGCTGAATCAGTAGACTTACCTGCTATCAGAGCCTACTGTGTGATCCTGTTTGTACACAGCCGATGTTAACAGGAAGTACACCACCTCCGTACGACCTAGTTTACAAGCCACCATCAAGGGTGTGTCACCATTCCTGTCCCGCAGGTTGTGGTCAAAGCGAGGCTTCATATATCAAAATCAAAGCAAATGGGTTTCAAAATCAAATAAAAGCATCATCATATTGCTAAACATTTCAACAAAATAATGTTTATAAAATCCCCAGGTAATAAATACACTGTTGTAAAACTGGAAACTTGTTCCTAGATATCTGTCTCCATTCCTTTGTTTACAAAACAGTAGAAGTGTTGAGTGCTCATATTTCATTCATTCATTCTGACTAAATAGAGTAAGTAACTTTTTTTGTAGAAAAAAGGGAATTTTAGTTTTCACAAAACTTTCAAAGAACCACCAGAATTAAATAAGAATTTTTAGTGATGAACATAATACACTGTTTTAAAAGAGCAACTATTTAAAGTATAATTTGTACATACTGAGTAGAAACATATATCGTACCATCCATATCTTACGCAGCTGCTGTAGCCTCTTTTTGGACTTGTCCCTAATGAGTTTCATCACCTCGTTAGTGTGTCTGTGTCGATGAGACTCAATCTCGTTAAACACTCCGCCATATGCATACTCGGGTAGGGAGAACAGGGCGCCGTTACAGTCGAGCACTGCCGTTGTCGCTCCCTGTGATAACAGCAGCTTCACAATTCGCATGTAGCCTGTTATAGTGATGTAAGCATTAAAGACATTGATGATAATAACAGTACCAACAATGTAAGCATCAAANTCCCTAATGAGTTTCATCACCTCGTTAGTGTGTCTGTGTCGATGAGACTCAATCTCGTTAAACACTCCGCCATATGCATACTCGGGTAGGGAGAACAGGGCGCCGTTACAGTCGAGCACTGCCGTTGTCGCTCCCTGTGATAACAGCAGCTTCACAATTCGCATGTAGCCTGTTATAGTGATGTAAGCATTAAAGACATTGATGATAATAACAGTACTAACAATGTAAGCATTAAAAGCATTGATGATAATAACAGTACTAACAATGAAAGCGTCAAAGACATTGATGATAATAACAGTACCAACAATGTAAGGATTAAAAGCATTGATGATAATAACAGTACCAACAATGTAAGCATCAAAGACATTGATGATAATAACAGAACTAACAATGTAAGCATCAAAGACATTGATGATAATAACAGTACTAACAATGTAAGCATCAAAGACATTGATGATAATAACAGAACTAACAATGTAAGCATCAAAGACATTGATGATAATAACAGAACTAACAATGTAAGCATCAAAGACATTGATGATAATAACAGAACTAACAATGTAAGCATCAAAGACATTGATGATAATAACAGAACTAACAATGTAAGCATCAAAGACATTGATGATAATAACAGAACTAACAATGTAAGCATCAAAGACATTGATGATAATAACAGAACTAACAATGTAAGCATCAAAGACATTGATGATAATAACAGAACTAACAATGTAAGCATCAAAGACATTGATGATAATAACAGAACTAACAATGTAAGCATCAAAGACATTGATGATAATAACAGAACTAACAATGTAAGCATCAAAGACATTGATGATAATAACAGTACTAACATTGTAAGCGTCAAAGACATTGATGATAATAACAGAACCAACAATGTAAGCATTAAAAGCATTGATGATAATAACAGTACCAACAATGTAAGCATCACAGACATTGATGATAATAACAGTACTAACAATGTAAGCATCAAAGGCATTGATGATAATAACAGTACTAGCAATGTAAGCATCAAAGACATTGATGAAAATAACAGTACTAACATTGTAAGCGTCAAAGCCATTGATGATAATAACAGAACCAACAATGTATGCATCAAAGACATTGATGATAATAACAGAACTATCAATGTAAGCATCAAAGACATTGATGATAATAACAGAACTAACAATGTAAGCATCAAAGACATTGATGATAATAACAGTACTAATAATGTAAGCATTGAAAGCATTGATGATAATAACAGAACTAACAATGTAAGCATCAAAGACATTGATGATAATAACAGAACTAACAATGAAAGCATCAAAGACATTGATGATAATAACAGTACCAACAATGTAAGCATCAAAGGCATTGATGATAATAACAGTACTAGCAATGTAAGCATCAAAGACATTGATGATAATAACAGTACTAACAATGTAACGTCAAAGACATTGATGATAATAACAGTGCATCAAAGACATTGATGATAATAACAGAACTATCAATGTAAGCATCAAAGACATTGATGATAATAACAGTGCATCAAAGACATTGATGATAATAACAGAACTAACAATTTAAGCATCAAAGACATTGATGATAATAACAGTACTAATAATGTAAGCATTGAAAGCATTGATGATAATAACAGAACTAACAATTTAAGCATCAAAGACATTGATGATAATAACAGTACTAACAATGTAAGCATCAAAGGCATTGATGATAATAACAGTACTAACAATTTACGTGTTGCCAAGTCTCCCCATTCTATGTTGTCTGGTCACCTGTTCTTTTAATGTATTACTGTTATGCCGGATTAGTAAACTCCATAGAAATCCATCAACTGAGGTCTGCTGAACTTCACTAAGCAGACTTGGATCTCCACCTCTTTTGTATATGTTGAACATTTGTAGGTTGCTAATCTGGTTTTGTTAGTTTGAGAATAAAGTTTGTTGTAGAAAACGTTGATGAACCATACATCTACAAAAGCAGCCTATTGATGGTGGTGGTCCAACACTACCCAAAAAAACTTTGCCAAAAACTTTCATCTGAAGCTTGCCATAAAACTTTAACCAAGTCCAATGAAGCTGTTTTTGCCCCCTTAAATATGAAAATATGGTTCATTACATTGCTTAATACACTCAGTACAAATACTTCAACCTTATAACAGACAACAGCCTATTGATGGTGGTGGTCCAACACTACCCAAAAAAAACCTTGGCCAAAAACTTTAACCTCAAGCTTTCCGAAAAACATTAATCAAGTCCAATAAAGCTGTTTTTGGCCCCTAAAATATGAAAATATTGTCCAGAACTTTGCTAGCACTCCTTAAAAATACTTCAACCTTATAATACACAACTGTGTATTGAGTGTGATGATCCAACACTGCCTGGAAAAAACTGCCCAAAACATTTAACCTTCGAAGGTGGGACGCTGGGGTGACTACAATAGCCCCCCTATTCTTTGAATAGGCGAGCTAAAAAATGATCACCAAAATGAAGGATACAAGACATTCCTTTTAAAATCATTGACAACAGATTAGAGACCCTCAAACAGCAATTTTTCAATATTTCTATAGTACAGCTAGTTATATAAAAGAAACTTACCTTTGTCAGCAGCTAGCTGTAGAGCAGTTTTGCCATCTGCATTCACCGCATTAATGTCAAGTTTACGATGAGAGTGACAAGGGTAACCATGGGTCTGTTCACTAGACACAGTGGTGAACTTGAGGAGATATTGGACAACGTCCAGTTTACCCATTCCAGCTGCAATGTGAAGAGCTGTGGACCCTGAAGAAACATGGCGCTTTCTCACATCTGCTCCCCTCTGTAACCATAAATACAACTAGTAAACCATGCAAACATATGCTTGCATCTGTAACCATGGAAACGCATGTGCTCACATTTGTAACCATATACACATGACTGTGCGACTCTGTAACCATAACAATTCATTTACTCAACTTTACAAGCATGGAAATACATCTACCGGTACTCCTTCTGATAGAAACAGATCTCCCTACGATAGGCCTCCTTCCATGATTTCGGTATAAAACATTCATTTTTACTTTTAAAATCATTAAAAAAAGTCTAAAGAGCTAGAAAGGCCAATGAAACACAGAATGGAAATATATCTACACACTCTGTGAGCCATGGAAATATATCTATACAACTCTGTAAGCCATGGAAATATATCTTACACAACTCTGTAAGCTATGGAAATATATCTACACAACTCTGTAAGCTATGGAAATATATCTATACAACTCTGTAAGCTATGGAAATATGTCTACACAACTCTGTAAGCCATGGAAATATATCTATACAACTCTGTAAGCTATGGAAATATATCTACACAACTCTGTAAGCCATGGAAATATATCTACACAACTCTGTAAGCCATGGAAATATATCTACACAACTCTGTAAGCCATGGAAATATATACTCCACAAAAAGACTTCAACCAAATTCATTAAAAGACCTTTTCAAGTATTGAAATTTTTCAAATGTTTTTGTAATGATGGGAGGATTTTGTTATGTAAAGTTGTCATGAATTTCTATTACCTCACACAAAAGTTCGACAACATCCAAATGGCCATTTTCTGCAGCAAGGTATAAAGGATAGCTGCCAACACCAGTCTGTGGGTAAAATAATACTGTAATACTATATACCAGGTAGTAAAGCACATGTACAGTGTATAAAAAAGAAGACATGTGAAGAACGTTTACAGTACAAGAGGCCAATGGGCCTGCATCGCTCACCTGCTATTAATCTCACAATTGTAACTTTATAAGAGGACTAAAATAAAGCAACAGGCAAAATATCAGTGGCTTAAAGTCAATCAGAAGAATCTGTTAAAGGATTAAAACACATTTGACCCCTGTGACCTTGAATATATGCAAAGGTCATTCATTTGAACAAACTTGGTACCCCTTTATCCAAGCATGCTACTGGCCAAATGTCAACACCCTAGGCCTCTTGGTTATTTAGAAGAAGTTGTTTAAAAGTAAAAACATATTTGAACCCCCTGTAACCTTGAATATGGGCGAAGGTCAATGATTTGAACAAAATTGGTAGTGCTTTATCCTAGCATGTTATTGACCAAATATCATCATCCTGGGCTTTCTGGTTATTCAGAAGAAGTTGTTAAAAGATTTTTAGTATATTTGAACCCTGTGACCTTGAAAATGGGCAAAGGTCATTTATAGGAACAAACTTTGAAGCCCTTCATCCCAGCATGCTACTGGCCAAATATCATCAGCCTGGATCTCTTGGTTATTCAAAAGAAGTTGTTTAAAGTAAAAAGTTGATGACAGACGGACAATGGATGCTACACCATGGCTTAAGCTCACCTGGCCCAAAGGGGCCAGGTCAGCTTAAAAACGGTACACATAAGGTGAGGCATTTAAAATAAAGATGAAGTCACTGAATGTTATTTCATTGATCATGGAATAATATACCTGTTAGATGCCTTGTAAACAGATTGAAATCAATGCTGAACATTACTTGATAGACTATAACAGATAAACACATCCAAAATTCAGACAAAAGAATTCAAAATTGTGGCATTACGTTTGTAGAGCTAATAATGTACGCAAAAATATACACTGTAAAATCAACCAAAGAATGATGAATGAAGGGGATGCTGGTATTGTATAATATTATCCCTCTGGGGAATAATTGCTGATTGGTCAACTATTCTAATCCCTGTAAGACTGAGTGGTCAAGAACCTCTGATCAGAAACTGAGTGGTCAAGGACTCTGATCAGAAACTAAGTGTCAAGGACCTCTGATAAGAAACAGAGTGGTCAAGGACTCTGATTAAAAACTGAGTGATCATGGACCTCTGATCAGAAACTGAATGGTCAAGGACCTTTGATCAGAAACTGAGGGTCAAGGACTCTGATCTGAGAAGCTGCGTGGTCAAGGACTCTGATCAGAAACTAAGTGTCAAGGACCTCTGATAAGAAACAGAGTGGTCAAGGATTTCTGATCAGAAACTGAGTGGTCAAGGACTCTGATCTGAGAAACTGATTCTTCAAGGACCCTTATCATAAACTGATTGTCAAGGGCACTGATCAGAAATTGAGTGGTGTAGGAAACTGATCAGAAACTGAGTGGTCAGGGACCTCTGATTAGAAACTGAGTGGTCAAGTACTCTGATCTAAGAAACTGAGTGGTCAAGGACACTGATCAGAAACTGAATGGTCAAGGACACTGATCAGAAACTGAATAATCAAGGACCTCTGACCAGAAACAGAGTGGTCAAGGACACTGATCAGAAACTGAATGGTCAAGGAAACTGATCAGAAAATGAGTGGTCAGGGACTTCTGATCAGAAAATGAGTGGTCAAGGACTCTGATCTAAGAAACTGACTGGTCATGGACCTCTGATCAGAAACTGAGTGTCAAGGACCCCTGATCAGAAACTGAGTGTCAAGGACACTGATCAGAAACTGAATGGTCAAGGACACTGATCAGAAACTGAATAATCAAGGACCTCTGACCAGAAACTGAGTGGTCAAGGAAACTGATCAGAAACTGATAAGGACTCTGATCAGAAACTGAGTGTCAAGGAATTATGATCAGAAACTGAATGTCCTCTGATCAGAAACTGAGTGGTCAAGGACCTCTGACCTGAGAAACTGAGTGTCAAGGACACTGATCAGAAACTGAGTAATCAAGGACCTCTGACCAGAAACTGAATGGTCAAGGACCTCTGATCAGAACTGAGTGTCAAGGACCTCTGACCTGAGAAACTATTTTAGTACATAGAGGACATGTATTAACATAAGTAAACAAGCAACGTTAGGTTAGTGACAACCAGGAAGTGACAGATATCAGTCAGGAAGGCTGATGATAATTAACTGGGTAGATACAATATATATAACAAGAAGGCATGGGGCCTTAATCATTTTCAATTTAAAACCTACTTAATACCATACCAGTTCATCAAGAGAGTACAAAGAATACAAGCTGTAAGAAGGACTAAATGTATATCGGTGGAAAAGAAACCAAGATCATGAGTGTAATCTTCATGGCCAAGAATTTTGTATATGATGATCTCAACACGTCCATGTTATGACCCAGAGATTTAGTCCCCAGGGGAGGGGATGAGTCCTCTGGGCACATCCTCTGCTTATTGTCACAATTAAGTAACCTTTCCTGAAAGATGCTCAAGGACCCCACCCATCTACCCCCGGGGGGCCACATCCTCCTTTTATACAACATTGAGAGCCCTTTTGCCAAGAATGTTTCACACCAGATTTGGTCAATATCCACTGGTTGTTAAGGAATTGTAGTGTTTTACAGGAAAAGGTTGACCAGGTGAGCTAAAAAAAATATCAGATGCAGAAAACACCCATAGATGTATATAAATTATCATTGAACATTATCATATCAAATTACCGTTCAAATTGCAAAAGTTGAATGGTCTAGAATGACAGATATATTTTTTCAAAATCTTTATTTTCTAGACTAGCATTAGACATAATCAACAACTGAAAATAAATTGTGTCTCTTACCTGAGAATTAATGTTGTCTCCATCTTCAAGGAGTCGATAAAGTTCTTCAGCTTTCCCGCTCATTGCACATGACATCAACTCCGTCATGACAATTTTCTCTTGTCGACTGTGACAGCAAACAGACACGTTAGAATACAGTTAGTCATACAAAAATCACAGGAAGCCCAACAGACCTTTATCATTTACCTGTGACCTTCGCAGGTAGCCCAACAGACCTTTAGCATTTACCTGTGACCTTCGCAGGTAGCCCAACAGACCTTTACCATTTACCTGTGACCTTAAAAGGAAGCCCAACAGACCTTTATCATTTTCCTGTGACCATCACAGGAAGCCCAACAGACCTTTCTCATTTACCTGTGACCTTCGCAGGTAGCCCAACAGACCTTTATTATTTACATGTGACCTTCACAGGAATCCCAACATACCTTTATCATTTACCTGTGACCTTCACAGGAAGCCCAACAGACGTTTACCATTTACCTGTGACCATCACAGGAAGCCCAACAGACCTTTATTATTTACCTGTGACCTTCACAGGAAACCCAACATACCTTTATCATTTACCTGTGACCATCACAGGAAGTCCAACAGACCTTTATCATTTACCTGTGACCATCACAGGAAGCCCAACAGACCTTTATCATTTACCTGTGACCTTCACAGAAAGCCGAACAGACCTTTATCATTTACCTGTGACCTTCACAGGAAGCCCAACAGACCTTTATCATTTACCTGTGACCTTCACAGGAAGCCCAACAGACCTTTATCATTTACCTGTGACCTTCACAGGAAGCCCAACAGACGTTTATCATTTACCTGTGACCTTCACAGGAAGCCCAACAGACCTTTATCATTTACCTGTGACCTTCACAGGAAGCCCAACAGACCTTTATCATTTACCTGTGACCTTCACAGGAAGCCCAACAGACCTTTATCATTTACCTGTGACCTTCACAGGAAGCCCAACAGACCTTTATCATTTACCTGTGACCTTCACAGGAAGCCCAACAGACCTTTATCATTTACCTGTGACCTTCACAGGAAGCCCAACAGACCTTTATCATTTACCTGTGACCTTCACAGGAAGCCCAACAGACCTTTATCATTTACCTGTGACCTTCACAGGAAGCCCAACAGACCTTTATCATTTACCTGTGACCTTCACAGGAAGCAAGATGTCATTTTTTTTAACAAGCTTGACAACAGGCAATCTTACATTAAAGGTTACGTATCGTTACACTGGAACTCCTGGATCTTTATTAAGTCAGTCCAAGTAATACATTTAAACCAAGCTTGACAACAGGCAATCTTACATTACAAGATTTAAGATGTGTCATTCCATTGAGCTACATGCCAATATTGCCACTCTAGGCCTAAAATACCTTTAGAAGAAGTTATTTCAAGTTTTTTCAACCAAGAAGTGGGTCAAAGTCATTCCTTTTGACAAACTTGACAGTCAGGTGACAGATGACAGACAAAGCATCTTAACATAAACCCCTCCTGGTGCTTTGTACTAAATGAGCTTAATCAATTTTCTTTTTCAATTTGAAAATTTAATTTGATCCTCTTTATAAGAAATTGTATACCAAAACTCATGTGAAACACTGGGCACATGTGGAATAGTTATTAGTTTAAAAAGTAGCCCCAAAAACAGGTAAAAGCCAAAACAATAAAATTCCGAAAATTAAGCCAAAAGGTGTGTTGGATGCATACATATTTAGTTGGACATTTTTTTTTTAAATATACAAAAAATAAGTAAAACTGAATCAATATTGAATGATTACATCTTCCAAGCATCTCGCAGTTTCCTGTCTAAAGATGTTTTCTTACTGATGGTGCAGGCATGGTTTAATCCCTGGAAACAAATGTAAATTAGATTACTGATATTTTTATAATGCCAATATATAGATGTTAACAGACTACCTCTATAGTATCTCTATAGTATGACAATAGATGTTAACAGATTACCTCAATAGTATCTCTATACTATGACAATAGATGTTACAGACTACCTCTATAGTATCTCTATAGTATGACAATAGATGTTAACAGACTACCTCTATAGAATCTCTATAGTATGACAACAGATGTTACAGATTACCTCTATAGTATCTCTATAGTATGACAACAGATGTTACAGATTACCTCTATAGTATCTCTATAGTATGACAACAGATGTTACAGACTACCTCTATAGTATCTCTATAGTATGACAACAGATGTTAACAGATTACCTCTATAGTGTCTCTATAGTATGACAATAGATGTTGCAGATTACCTCTATAGTATGTCTATAGTATGACAATAGATGTTACAGATTACCTCTATAGTATCTCTATAGTATGACAACAGATGTTAACAGATTACCTCTATAGTATCTCTATAGTATGACAATAGATGTTAACAGATTACCTCTATAGTATCTCTATAGTATGACAATAGATGTTAACAGATTACCTCTATAGTATCTCTATAGTATGACAATAGATGTTAACAGATTACCTCTATAGTATCTCTATAGTATGACAATAGATGTTAACAGATTACCTCTATAGTATCTCTATAGTATGACAATAGATGTTAACAGATTACCTCTATAGTATCTCTATAGTATGACAATAGATGTTAACAGATTACCTCTATAGTATCTCTATAGTATGACAATAGATGTTAACAGATTACCTCTATAGTATCTCTATAGTATGACAATAGATGTTAACAGATTACCTCTATAGTATCTCTATAGTATGACAATAGATGTTAACAGATTACCTCTATAGTATCTCTATAGTATGACAATAGATGTTAACAGATTACCTCTATAGTATCTCTATAGTATGACAATAGATGTTAACAGATTACCTCTATAGTATCTCTATAGTATGACAATAGATGTTAACAGATTACCTCTATAGTATCTCTATAGTATGACAATAGATGTTAACAGATTACCTCTATAGTATCTCTATAGTATGACAATAGATGTTAACAGATTACCTCTATAGTATCTCTATAGTATGACAATAGATGTTAACAGATTACCTCTATAGTATCTCTATAGTATGACAATAGATGTTAACAGATTACCTCTATAGTATCTCTATAGTATGACAATAGATGTTAACAGATTACCTCTATAGTATCTCTATAGTATGACAATAGATGTTAACAGATTACCTCTATAGTATCTCTATAGTATGACAATAGATGTTAACAGATTACCTCTATAGTATCTCTATAGTATGACAATAGATGTTAACAGATTACCTCTATAGTATCTCTATAGTATGACAATAGATGTTAACAGATTACCTCTATAGTATCTCTATAGTATGACAATAGATGTTAACAGATTACCTCTATAGTATCTCTATAGTATGACAATAGATGTTAACAGATTACCTCTATAGTATCTCTATAGTATGACAATAGATGTTAACAGATTACCTCTATAGTATCTCTATAGTATGACAATAGATGTTAACAGATTACCTCTATAGTATCTCTATAGTATGACAATAGATGTTAACAGATTACCTCTATAGTATCTCTATAGTATGACAATAGATGTTAACAGATTACCTCTATAGTATCTCTATAGTATGACAATAGATGTTAACAGATTACCTCTATAGTATCTCTATAGTATGACAATAGATGTTAACAGATTACCTCTATAGTATCTCTATAGTATGACAATAGATGTTAACAGATTACCTCTATAGTATCTCTATAGTATGACAATAGATGTTAACAGATTACCTCTATAGTATCTCTATAGTATGACAATAGATGTTAACAGATTACCTCTATAGTATCTCTATAGTATGACAATAGATGTTAACAGATTACCTCTATAGTATCTCTATAGTATGACAATAGATGTTAACAGATTACCTCTATAGTATCTCTATAGTATGACAATAGATGTTAACAGATTACCTCTATAGTATCTCTATAGTATGACAATAGATGTTAACAGATTACCTCTATAGTATCTCTATAGTATGACAATAGATGTTAACAGATTACCTCTATAGTATCACTATAGTATTACAATAGATGTTAACAGATTACCTCTATAGTATCTCTATAGTATGACAATAGATGTTACAGACTACCTCTATAGTGTCTCTATGGTATGACAATAGATGTTACAGATTACCTCTATAGTATCTCTATAGTATGACAACAGATGTTAACAGATTACCTTTATAGTGTCTCTATAGTATTACAATAGATGTTACAGATTACCTCAATAGTATCTCTATAGTATGACAATAGATGTTAACAGATTACCTCTATAGTATCTCTATAGTATGGCAATAGATGTTAACAGATTACCTTTATAGTGTCTCTATAGTATTTCAATAGATGTTACAGATTACCTCAATAGTATCTCTATAGTATGACAATAGATGTTAACAGATTACCTCTATAGTGTCTCTATAGTATTACAATAGATGTTACAGACTACCTCTATAGTATCTCTATAGTATGACAATAGATGTTACAGATTACCTCTATAGTATCTCTATAGTATGACAATAGATGTTAACAGATTACCTCTATAGTATCTCTATAGTATGGCAATAGATGTTAACAGATTACCTTTATAGTGTCTCTATAGTATTACAATAGATGTTACAGATTACCTCTATAGTATCTCTATAGTATGGCAATAGATGTTAACAGATTACCTCTATAGTGTCTCTATAGTATTACAATAGATGTTACAGACTACCTCTATAGTATCTCTATAGTATGACAAAAGATGTTACAGACTACCTCTATAGTGTCTCTATAGTATGACAATAGCTGTTACAGATTACCTCTATAGTATCTCTATAGTATGACAATAGATGTTAACAGATTACCTCTATAGTATCTCTATAGTATGATAATAGATGTTACACACTACCTCTATAGTGTCTCTATAGTATGACAATAGATGTTACAGACTACCTCTATCGTATCTCTATAGTATGACAATAGATGTTAACAGACTACCTCTATAGTATCTCTATAGTATGACAACAGATGTTACAGACTACCTCTATAGTGTCTCTATAGTATGACAATATATGTTACAAACTACCTCTATAGTATCTCTATAGTATGATAATAGATGTTACAGACTACCTCTACATATAGTATCTCTATAGTATCATAATAGATGTTACAGACTTCCTCTATATATAGTATCTCTATAGTATGATAATAGATGTTACAGACTACCTCTATATATAGTATCTCTATAATATGACAATAGATGTTACTGATTACCTCTATAGTATCTGACAATAGATGTTATCTCTATAATATGATAATAGATGCTTAGGAGGTATACAGCCTCTGTGTCTGACCTTAGACCTCGGGTAATATGAAATATGAAAATAGGTACCATTCCGTAAATCTTTTAATTAACCCTGGCTAGTCTCTTGAGTAAAAAGGATATTCCACTAACACATCTTAAACAGTAAGAGGACGTAACACTTACACTATACGTGTACGGGAAATGATCTTGGATCAATATTGCATCCAGAACTTCCTCATGATTCTGTAATACAGCATGGTGCAAGGGTAGATAACCGTCCACATCACCAATCCCAGGGTTAGCTCCCCTTCTGTAAGGTAATAACAGTTCATTTGTGAAGTGATGTGATGTGATAACACATTAATTACATTAGACAGACCTTTCAATTGTCTGTACCTATGACAATTTAGCAGTTTTATAGTGGATATCACCTTATCAGACCTTAACAACATTCAATCTGTTTTATTTATTTCATGAAATCCTAATATGTGTAACACAAGCTATGTGGCTACAATAGGCAGACTTACTGGAGCAGCATCCTGACACAGACTGTGTGGCCCCGGTGAGCTGCTATAGCTAGGGCTGTCATTCCTGTCCGGAGGCTTTCCTCACCACCACCTTTCATCTACACATAAACAGGATAAACTGAAGAGCTCAATAATCTTCATAAAGAAAACTGTGACCAGATCACAAAGATATACCCCGTGTTTCATTTTATCTTCATATTCAAACTTTCTTTGCAGGGCTATAATATCCCAGTTACAAATCCCTTCCTTCAAGATGTTCTTTCCCTTTGCCAAGTAACAAAACAAGAGGCCCATGGGCATTAACGGTCACATGATATATTTACACAGAGGGGTGATTTTGTTTTTAACACGAACAGAAATATTATTCAGTGACAAAAAACAATAAAACCACCTTATTCAATATCTAGCATACAGATTTAAGACTAAAAAGTATTTATAACCAGCACCTCTGATTCTAAACAAGGAAAATAAAGAAATTTTAGCACACTGACTCCTTTTGGCCCCACCCTACAGCCCTTGGGGGTAGGGCTGGCTCAAAATTTTCAAAGTATCAAACTGTCAACTCAGGGTTATAATTCCAATCAAGTTATTAACATGTAATATTCAAAGTATCATNACCCTAGGGTCATAAACCTTAAGACCCTTCCATCTATGAAGAGTGTTAGATTCTACCATATCTGGGTCTTTGAGAAGATTTGTTTTTGAAATTTCAGTCAATTCAAGCCTTTTTGGCCCCACCCATCAGCCCCGGGGGGTCAGTCAGGGCTCATATGTGCATACCATCTAACTGTTATCCAATACTGATAATGCTAACCCAAACTGAATTATTTCCAATGGAAATTAAACAAATGTTGGTCCAAAATGTGATTTCCCTATTTAAACTATAGTAAAGTTTACCCCCTCTTTTGGCCCCACCCCTCAGGCCCCTGGGGGCCGGGGACCAAACCGGCATCTCTTTCTGTTGACCTTTGGCCATGGAAGGTTTCTGCAAAATTTCATTGAAATTGATTCAAGGGGTTTTGGAGAAGAAGTCGAAAACGACGGACGACGGACAAAAGGCGATCGCAATAGGTCACTTGAGACTTTGTCTTAGGTGACCTAAAAATCTAACGATTGGTTAAGGAAGAGCTGTGCCTTAAAGGATTTTTGATCAGAAATTTCAAGTTTCAAGGGCCATAACTGCAGGATAAATAGCCGAATTGCTGATTCCTTTCTTCATGCACATTTATATATGATGTACTATAAATTTCACATTGCGAAGTTACCAAAAAAATCAAACAGTCAAGAATAAAGTAATTCATACACGAGCAGACAAACAGGGTGGTTTCTGATATACCCTCCCAAACTTTGTTGCGCTGAAATTTAAAATGTAGTCTGTACAGCCTGATTGTTCATCAGAGGAATTTGTTTGAAGATTTCAACACACTTGACCACTGTGACCTTGAATGAAGATCAAGGTAATTTATTTGAACAAAATTGCAAGTCCTGTTTCTTAGCTACATGGCAATAATTGTTAATTCAGGCTTTCCAGTTTAAGAAAGTTTTTACCCCTGTGACCTTGAAAATGAGTTAAATTTATTTATCGAAAACAGTTCATTAATATTCAGCAAAGCTACATATGCTTTGTAAACAGAATTTTAATTTCACCTGTCGAAATGTTACCTGAAAAAACTGAGCATCAATGAAAGATTTTGATTTGCTGCCGTTGAAGTCCAGGATGACCTTCGTGCTGTCTACTCTGTAAACAAATGGAGAGGAAGTCATTAGTACTCAAATCAGTATGATTTATGTAACATTAATAGACTTAATCATCAATCCTGATCTAGCCTCCTTATATTTCTATTTGTAAATTTGATAATTAAGCAATGAGAAATTACTGCAAAGCATTTGTATTTTGCATATATACATGTGCAGATTGACTTTGTGTGTGATATACTGGAGACTTGAGGTAGACTTTGTGTGTGTGATATACTGGAGTCTTGAGGTAGACTTTGTGTGATATACTGGATTCTTGAGGTAGACTTTATGTGTGATATACTGGAGCTTTGAGATAGACTTTGTGTGATATACTGGAGAATTGAGGTAGACTTTGTGTGTTATACTGGAGTCTTGAGGAAGACTTTGTGTGTTATACTGAAGCTTTGAGGTAGACTTTGTGTGATATACTGGAGCTTTGAAGTAGACTTTGTGTGATATACTGGAGCTTTGAGGTAGACTTTGTGTGATATTCTGGAGCTTTGAAGTAGACTTTGTGTGAAATACTGGAGCTTTGAGGTAGACTTTGTGGGTTATACTGGAGCTTTGAGGTAGACTTTGTGTGTTATACTGGAGCTTTGAGGCAGACTTTGTGTGATATACTGGAGTCTTGAGGTAGACTTTGCGTGATATACTGGAGCTTTAAGGTAGACTTTGGGTGTTATACTGGGGCTTTGAGGTAGACTTTGTGTGATATACTGGCGCTTTGAGGTAGACTTTGTGTGATATACTGAAGTCTTGAGGTAGACTTTGTGTGATATGCTGGAGAATTGAGGTAGACTTTGTGTGTTATACTGGAGTCTTGAGGTAGACTTTGCGTGATATACTGGAGCTTTAAGGTAGACTTTGGGTGTTATACTGGGGCTTTGAGGTAGACTTTGTGTGATATACTGGCGCTTTGAGGTAGACTTTGTGTGATATACTGAAGTCTTGAGGTAGACTTTGTGTGATATGCTGGAGAATTGAGGTAGACTTTGTGTGATATACTGGAGTCTTGAGGTAGACTTTGTGTGATATACTGGAGCTTTAAGGTAGACTTTGTGTGTTATACTGGAGCTTTGAGGTAGACTTTGTGTGATATACTGGAGTCTTGAGGTAGACTTTGTGTGATATACTGGAGCTTTGAGGTAGACTCTGTGTGATATACTGGAGACCTGAGGTAGACTTTGTGTGTGATATACTGGAGACTTGTGGTAGACTTTGTGTGATATACTGGGGACTTGAGGTAGACTTTGTGTGTGATATACTGGAGCCTTAAGGTAGACTTTGTGATATACTTGAGCCTTGAAGGTAATTTTGTGTTATAATGGAGCCTGAATCCTGGCACAAAACTTGACAAGCATATTGGTATGTGAGAATAGCAGATGATAAACAAGAAGTTGTGTTCTTACCTGTTGCAGTACTAGTGTTGCCACCTTTTAAAGCAGAGTAAATCCATCTGTGTTGAGGTAACCAGCCTACTTTTAACCCCATCCCTCAGCCCTTAGGAGGCTCCGCCCCTTTGATTGTATACTAGATTTAACCCCACCCCTCAGCCCCAAGGAGGCTCTGCCCCTTTGTTTGTATAGTAGATTAAACCCCACCCCTCAGCCCCTAGGGGGCTCCATTCCTTTGTTTGTATAGTAGATTTAACCCGACCCCTCAGCCCCAAGGAGGCTCCACCTGCTTGTTTGTATAGTAGATTTAACCCCACCCCTCAGCCCCAAGGAGGCTCCACCCCTTGGTTTGTATAGTATATTAAACCCCACCCCTCAGCCCCTAGGGGGCTCCACTCCTTTGTTTGTATAATAGATTTAACCCCACCCCTCAGCCCCTAGGGGGCTCCACTCCTTTGTTTGTATAGTAGATTTAACCCGACCCCTCAGCCCCTAGGGGGCTCCATTCCTTTGTTTGTATAGTAGATTTAACCCCACCCCTCAGCCCCAAGGAGGCTCCACCCTTTTGTTTGTATACTAGATTTAACCCACCCCTCAGCCCCTAGGGGGCTCCACTCCTTTGTTTGTATAGTAGATTTAACCCCAACCCTCAGCCCCTAGGGGGCTCCACTCCTTTGTTTGTATACTAGATTTAACCCCACCCCTCAGCCCCAAGGAGGCTCCACCTCTTTGTTTGTATAGTAGATTTCACTTAATATCACTTCTCATTTGTCAGAGAAAAGCATGATATTTACAGGAATGTCACATAAAGGAAAAGCATGTTTTTCTGACTTTTTCAGCTGTCAAAACCTGGAAGCAACCATGACCATATGACATGAAGATTGTTAAGTTAAAGATATTTGTAACTGACACAGCTTTTTCTTTATTAACAGTGAAAGAATAATATTTTATTTGTTTATTTCAGCTAAAACCCTTGCTGAATTCCGCTAGTGCCTTACGTCCGTCCGATAGGCCTAGATTGAACTGTAGATGTTGTACATGTTGGCTGCTCCAAATTGGTAAAACTTTTGATCTCCATGGGCTTAGGATATGTTTTCTTGAAATCTGCTTTAAAAGTAGTTTGGAAGAAGTCATTAAAAGGAAATCAGCTAATTTGACCCCTTTTAATCCTGACCTTCAGCCCCCATGAGGGTCATTCCCTTTGTTTGTAAAGAATAAGCTTTGATCATATGGGCTAATTTTAATACCAAAAGAACTTTGTGAAACTTTTCAGAAAATTAGGAGGACATGTCATTTAACCAAATCGGCCAACATAAGCTCTTTGTCCCTGCTCTCCATGTGATATACTGGAACCTTGAGGTAGGCATTGTGATATACTGGAGCCTGGCACATATAAACTTGCTTGAACAAACATTAATATTTGAGAATATTAGGTGTTGACTAGTTGTGTACTTACCTGTTGTGTAGTGCTGCCAACATTAGCAGAGTCAACCCATCTATGTTGACTACACTCATATCAGATTCTTTGAGATCATGGGGTCGAAGTTTACCCTAGTGAAAAATAAACAAGTTTTGTTATTACTGGTCAGTTTTTAATGCTGAAAAAGCTTACCAACATGCAAATTTTCAAACAGCATATCTTCAAATAGAACTTTAAGACAGAGATATGCTAATATCCTCCCATCTAACCATTTATATTAGCAATGTCTCCGTTTACTATTATAGCCACCATGAATTCCAAAATTTAACAACCTGCATTTTATATACCATAGGTATCACTCACACAACCCATCAACAAAGTTATTACCCTCGGTACCCTTATACCTTAAGTTCCCCTAAACCTTAAATAGCAATATATATCCTCTAGAACTTAAGTTACAATGTATATCATCTAGACCTCAAGTTACAATATATATCATCTAGACCTTAAGTTACAATATATATCCTCTAGAACTTAAGTTACAATGTAAATCCCCTAGACCTTAAGTTACAATGTATACCCCCCTAGACCTTAAGTTACATTGTATATCATCTAGAACTAAAGTTACAATGTAAATCCCCTGGACCTTAAGTTACAATGTAAATCCTCTAGATATTAAGATACAATGTATATCCCCTGGACCTTAAGTTACATTGTATATCCCCTAGACCTTAAATTACAATGTATATCCCCTAGACCTTAAGTTAAAATGTATATCATCTAGACTTTAAATTGCAATGTATATCCTCTAGACCTTAAGTTACAATGTATATCCTCTAGACCTTAAGTTACATTGTATATCATCTAGACCTTAAGTTACAATGTATATCATCTAGACCTTAAGCTAAAATGTCAATCCCCTAGACCTTAAGTTACAATGTAAATCCCCTAGACCTTAAGTTACATTGTATATCATCAAGACCTTAAGGTACATTGTATATCATCTAGACCTTAAGCTAAAATGTATATCCCTGGACCTTAAGTTACAATGTATATCCTATAGAACTTAACTTGCAATGTATATCCCCTTCACCTTATATTACAATGTATACCCCTTAGACCTTAAGTAACATTGTAAATCCCCTAGACCTTAAGTTACAATGCATATCCTCTAGACCTTAAGTTACAATGTATATCCCCTAGACCTTAAGTTACAATGTAAATCCCCTAGACCTTAAGTTTCAATGTACATCCCCTAGACCTTAAGTTACAATGTATATCCTATAGAATTTAACTTGCAATGTATATCCCCTTCACCTTACATTACAATGTATACCCCTTAGACCTTAAGTAACATTGTAAATCCCCTAGACCTTAAGTTACAATGCATATCCTCTAGACCTTAAGTTACAATGTATATCCCCTAGACCTTAAGTTACAATGTAAATCCCCTAGACCTTAAGTTACAATGTACATCCCCTAGACCTTAAGTTACAATGTATATCCCCTAGACCTTAAGTTACATTGTATATCCCCTAGAACTTAACTTGCAATATATACCCCCTAGACCTGAAGTTACAATGTATTTTCCCTAGACCTTAAGTTACAATGTATATCCCCTAGACCTTAAGTTAAAATGTATATCCCCTTCACCTTACATTACAATGTATACCCCTTAAACCTTAAGTAACATTGTATACCCCCTAGACCTTAAGATACAATATATACCCTCTAGACCTTAAGTTACATTGTATATCATCAAGACCTTAAGTTACAATGTATATCCCCTTGACCTTAAGTTACATTGTATATCATCGAGACTTTAAGTTACAATGTATATCCCCAAGACCTTAAGTTACAATGTACATCCCCTAGACCTTAGGTTACAATGTAAATCCCCTAAACCTTAAGCTATAATGTATATCCCCTAGAACTTAACTTGCAATGTATACCCCCCTAGACCTTAAGTTACAATGTAAATCCCCTAAACCTTAAGTTATAATGTATATCCCATAGACCTTAAGCTACAATGTAAATCCCCTAAACCTTAAGATACAATGTCTATCCCTTAGACCTTAAGCTACAATGTATATCCCATAGACCTTAACTTACAATGTAAATCCCCTAGATCTTAAGTTACAATGTATATCCCCTAAACCTTAAATTACAATATATATCCCCTAAACCTTTAGTTACAATGTAAATCCCCTAGAACTTAAGTTACAATATATATCCCCCAGACCTTAAGGTACAATGTATATTACATAGAACTTAAGTTACAATGTATATCTCCTTCACCTTACATTACAATGTATATCCCCTAGACTTTCAGTTACAATATATATCCCCTAGACCTTACATTACAATGGAAATCCCCTAAACCTTAAGTTACAATGTATATCCCCTTGACCTTACATTACAATGCATATCCCCTAGACCTTAAGTTACATTGTACATCCCCTAAACCTTAAATTACAATGTATATCCACTAGACCTTAAATTACAATGTATATCCTCTAGACCTTAGTTACAATGTATATTCCCTATAACTTAAGTTACAATGTATATCCCCTTCACCTTATGTTACAATGTATATCTGTCATTGTCTCAGCAGTCCGAGTTCATGGCATGGCAGCCATCTTGTAATATTTAGATGTGAAAGTGTTAAAGATGTGTTCATACTGGACCATTTCATGAAGTTAAATCAAAATCCATTGCAAATGTGTTTTCAACTTTGAAACAACAAGAGGCCCAATGGGCCTGCATCGCTCACCTGGTATTAATCTCACACCTGTAATCTTTAAAGTGGACTAAAATACAACTTCAGGCAGAATATCAGTGTGACCTTGAATGACAAACAATGACATTAGGTTGAAAGTGGGTCAAGGTCATTCATTTGAACAAATTTGGTAGCCCTGATTGCTACAGGCCAAATATCAGTACCCTGGAGCTTTTGGTTATTGAGAAGAAGTTGTTTGAAGATTTTAAGACATTTGACATTTGACACCTGTGACCTTGAAAGTTGTATTCGGTCATTCATTTAAACAAATGTGGTAGCCCTTCATCCCAGCATGCTACTGGCCATATATCATCACCCTGGGCATTTTGGTTATTCAGAAAAAGTTGTTTAAAGGTTTTAAACATATTTGACCCCTGTGACCTTGAATATAAATCAAGGTCATTTATTTAAACAAACTTGGTAGCCCTTCATCCCAGCATGTTACTGGCTAAATTTAAGCACCCTAGGCTTATTGGTTATTCAGAAGAAGTTGTTGAAAGGTTTTAAACATATTTGACCCATGTGACCTTGAATATAAATCAAGGTCATTTATTTAAACAAACTTGGTAGCCCTTTATCCCAGCATGTTACTGGCCAAATTTAAAGTTGTTGAAAGGTTTTAAACATATTTGACCCATGTGACCTTGAATATAAATCAAGGTCATTTATTTGGACAAAATTGGTAGCCCTTCATCCCAGCATGTTACTGGCGAAATATCATCACCCTATACTATGCCTCTTGGTTATTCAGAAGAAGTTGTTTAAAGAATTTTAACATATTTGACACCTGTGACCTTGAAAATGGATGAAGGTCATTTATTTGAACAAACTTAGTAGACTTTTATCCCTGCATGCTTCTGGCCAAATATCATCACCCTAGGCCTTTTGGTTACTGAGAAGAAGTTGTTTAAAGTAAAATGTTGACGACGGACGGACGACGGTGATTATCTCTGAAGAACACTTAAACTAGTCCACTGTGACTTTTGTGCACATTTTGATCTGAGCCCTGAGGACAGATATGACATTGAGACATCCCCTGAACTTCTCATTACCTCCATGTTTAGGTGACTTAGACTTTCACCTCTCTGGGCCCTGAGTACAGATATGAAATTGAGACAACCCCTTAACTACTCATTACCTCTATGTTCAGGTGACTCAGATTTTCACATCTTTGGGCCCTGAGTACAGAAATGACATTGAGACAGTCCTCCCCATATCTCCACGTTCCAGGGTCATCAGGACGCATCCCACTGTGGTCCTCCTGATTGAAGTCAGCTCCACGTCGGATCAAACAACTGAAACATCACATAATTTACTAAATTACAAATGAACAGGAAGAGAGTAGTCTATTTCACCACGGTATACTGAACAAGCAAACTCTCCAGTCCACCAATCCACCAACTGTAAACATAAAACTTATTTCATTAAACCAAAGCACCACAATAAATACTGATGCATTTTTTCCTCATGTGAACTTACAAATAACAGCAAAAGCACATGTGTATGTTAACATTAAATAAAATGTTATTAACTAGAAAAACTTCTGACTGATTGCTGTATGTTGATGTAGGAAAAGGCTGCCTATGTTAGCAACGGACTATCACCTATTTACAAAGCTGCATCAATAATGTGATGACAACAAACATGTTAGTTTGCTGTTAAATGTCTGAACAAATTAGGGTAGGTAGGGAGGTAAGTAATAAATTCTATTTTTCATTTTTTTTATCAGGTTTATATAGAAGAGTGGTCTTGACTTCAAAAGTGTTTCCTTGAAAATTGCCAAAACAAGTTTAGGGTAGGCACATAAAATTAGGGTAGGTAGGGTTACAGGAAACAAACAATATATTGTTTGCCTTAGTCAAATGAATTCAATGACTAACTTACCAGTAACACTCCCACATTTGCTTTCACCATATTTGGATGTTAATCCCAAATGTTTTAGGGAGCAGGAGATAGCTAATCATAAATCATAAATAGGTGACTAAGTTTGAAGCCAGTTTCGCAGGCTTGCATGGACAGTGCCAAGATATTACATTATTCCCCCCTCCTTCCCACTCCCCTACGAATCATGTTATAGATATTTTATACAGCGTATCTGACAGTGTCTACGTGGTTGTACTGAGCAGTATTACAGCGTACTTGACGGTGTCTACGTGGTTGTACTGAGCAGTAATACAGTGTACCTGGCGGTGTCTATGTGGTGGTACTGAGCAGTAATACAGTGTACCTGGCGGTGTCTACGTGGTTGTACTGAGCAGTAATGCAGTGAACCTGACAGTGTCTACGTGGTTGTACTGAGCAGGAATACAGTGTACCTGACAGTGTCTACGGGGTTGTACTGAGCAGTAATACAGTGTACCTAGCGGTGTCTATGTGGTTGTACTGAGCAGTATTACAGTGTACCTGACAGTGTCTACGTGGTTGTACTGAGCATTAATACAGTGAACCTGACAGTGTCTACGTGGTTGTACTGAGCATTAATACAGTGAACCTGACAGTGTCTACGTGGTTGTACTGAGCAGTAATACAGTGTACCTGACGGTGTCTACATGGTTGTACTTCTCAGTAATACAGCGTACCTAGCGGTGTCTACGTGGTTGTACTAAGCAGTACTACAGTCTACCTGATTGTGTCTACACGGTTTTACTGAGCAGTAATACAGTGTACCTGACGGTGTCTACATGGTTGTACTAAACAGTAATACAGCATACCTAGCGGTGTCTATGTGGTTTTACTGAGCAGTAATACAGTGTACCTGACGTTGTCTACGTGGTTGTTTTGAGCGGTAATACAGTGTACCTGACAGTGTCTACGTGGTTGTCCTAAGCAGTTATACAGCATACCTGACGGTGCCTCCGTGGTTGTACTGAGCAGTAATACAGCGTACCTGACAGTGTCTACGTGGTTGTACTGAGCAGTAATAAAGTGTACCTGACAGTGTCTACGTGGTTGTCCTAAGCAGTTTTACAGCATACCTGACGGTGCCTCCGTGGTTGGACTGAGCAGTAATACAGCGTACCTGACAGTGTCTACGTGGTTGTACTAAGCAGTAATACAGTGTACCTGACAGTGTCGACGTGGTTGTACTGAGCAGTAATACAGCGTACCTGACGGTGTCTACACGGTTGTACTGAGCAGTAATACAGCATACCTGATGGTGTCTACGCGGTTGTACTGAGCAGTAATACAGTGTACCAGACAGTGTCTACACGGTTGTACTGAGCAGTACTACAGTCTACCTGATAGTGTCTATGCGGTTGTAATGAGCAGTAATACAGCTGCCTGACAGTGTCTATGTGGTTTTACTGAGCAGTAATACAGTGTACCTGACGTTGTCTACATGGTTGTAATGAGCAATACTACAGTCTACCTGACGGTGCCTATGTGGTTGTTCTAAGCAGTAATACAGCGTACCTAACGGTC